ACGCAGGTTTGCCGGGAATATTCATTCTGTTGTTTACTGAGTCCTCCATCTTCTTCACCATCTCCAAGAAAACTAAAATAATAACAATTTACTAAATGTAGTGATTTGTTTGATCCTAGGAGGATTGGCCTCTAATTCACAGGGACCGGCAAAGGGTGACAGAGTACAGAGATTCTTCCTGGAAATTTTATGTATAATAAATCAGGACAGCCAATTTTCAAAAATGACTTGTCCATGTAGTACTTACAGAAGAACAGAACAACAGAGTTGGAAGGGACCTTGGAGGTCTTCTAGTCCAACCCTCTGCTCAGGAAGGAAGCCCTGGAGATTCTATGACCCAGGTCTCTCCACATCTTCTATTCCATGTCTAGTCTATTCTTAAAAGACTCCAGTGATGGAGCACCCACAACTTCTGGAGGCAAGTTGTTCCACTGGTTAATTGCTCTCACCGTTAGGAACTTTCTCCTTAGCTCTAGGTTGCTTCTCTCCTTGCTTAGTTTCCATCCATTGTTTCTTTTCTTTTGGTGCTTGGGAAATAGTTTGACCCCTCATCTTTGTAGGAGGCCCTATACCAGGGGTAGGCAACCTTGCTCTTTTATGACTGGTGGACTTCAACTCCCAGAATTCCTGAGTCAGCATGGCTCAGCTTGGAAACCTCTCTTTTTCCCCTCAGCGTGGCTGGCTCAGGAATTCTGGGAGTTGAAGTCCACAAGTCATAAAAGAGCCAAGGTTGCCTACCTCTGGCCTAGGCCTAGGCTGCTTTATGACTTGTGGACTTCAACTCCCAGAATTCCTCAGCCAGCATGGCTCAGCTTGGAAACTCTACCTTTCCCCTCAGCGTGGCTGGCTCAGGGATTCTGGGAGTTGAAGTCCACAAGTCATAAAAGAGCCAAGGTTGCCTACTCCTGACCTATACCATTTCAGACAAATGGCTGTCCAGTCTCTTCTTAAAAACTTCCAGTGTTGGAGCATTCACAGCTTCTGGAGGCAGGTGGTTCCACTGGTTAATTGTTCTAACTGGACAGGAAGTTTCTCCTTAGTTCTAGGTTGCTTCTCTCCTTGGTTAGTTTCCATCCGTTGCTTCTTGTCCTGCCTTCAGGTGCTTTGGAGAATAGCTTGACTCCCTCTTCTTTGGGGCAGCCCCTGAGATATTGGAAGACTGCTCTCATGTCTCCTCTAGTTCTTCTTTTCATTAAACTAGACATACCCAATTCCAGCAACCGTTCTTCGTATGTTTTAGCTTCCAGTCTCCTAGTCATTCTTTTTGCTCTTCTCTGCGTTCTTTCGGAGTCTCAACATCTTTTTTATATTGTGGTGACAGAACCGGATGTAGTATTCCACGGGTGATCTTAATTAAGGCCTTACTAAAGGTCTTACTAAATGCCATCCTGGTATCTTTACACTTGTCACCTTCTTTCAGGTAATTAGAGACATATTTTAAATGTTTCCGGCAGAAAATGAGAAGAGAGATGAGGCAGCGTCCAGCTCCAGTCTTCTCTTCGCTGCCGGTGAATATCCTTGCCAAAAGAAAAGACCACATGCTGCGCAACGATGGCCTCTTTCACACAATAACCTACAAGCTGTGTCCAAAATCATTATGCTTGCTTGGGCTTCCTATAAAGAAATGGGAACTCCAGATTCTGTCAATGAGAGACAGACAACACACTCCCTGCGTTAGCCAAGTAATTACCAGAAGAATGAATGAAACCACAGCAGAATGTCTACCACACTTGAGCACCACAATGGTTGAAGGCCAGATGGCCCTATTGAAGTAATGGACTTGACAGATGCCAAAAGGACAGAACACAAGTGTGTGGAAGGATATAGCTTTGGATTATTATAGTCCTACGATCTGAGAATTTATTATTTAGAATAGCCCTAGCTAGCTGGTCTCTGATAGGAAGGCAGGAAGGAAGAAAGGAAGGAAGGAAGGAAGGAAAAGAGGGACAGGGAAAGGAAGGAAGGAAGGAAGGAAGGAAGGAAGGAAGGAAGGAAGGAAGGAAGGAAGGAAGGAAGGAAGGAAGGAAGGAAGGAAAAGAGGGACAGGGAAAGGAAGGAAGGAAGGAAGGAAGGAAGGAAGGAAGGAAGAGAGGGACGGAGAGGAAAGAAGGGAGGGAGGGAAAGAAGAAAGGGAGGAAGGAAGGAAGGAAGGAAGGAAGGAAGGAAGGAAGGAAGGAAAAGAGGGATGGACGGGAAGGAAGGAAGAGAGGGATGGAGAGGAAGGGAGGGAGGGAGGGAGGGAGGGAGAGAGGAAGGGAGGAAGAGGAAGGAAGGAAGGATGGATGGGAAGGAAGGAAGAGAGGGAGGGAGAGGAAGGGAGGGAGGGAGAGAGGAAGGGAGGAAGAGGAAGGAAGGAAGGAAGGAAGGAAGGGAAGGAAGGAAGAGAGGGAGGGAGAGGAAAGGAGGGAGGGAGAGAGAAAGGAAGGAAGAAAGGAAGGAAAGAAGGAAAAGAGGGACAGAGGGGAAGAAAGGAAGGAAGGAAGGAAGGAAGGAAGGAAGGAAGGAAGGAAGGAAAGAAGGAAAAGAGGGACAGAGGGGAAGGAAGGAAGGAAGGAAGGAAGGAAGGAAGGAAGGAAGGAAGGAAGGAAGGAAGGAAGGAAGGAAGGAAGGAAGAAAGAGGGGGATGGAGGGAAGGGAAGAGAGGGAGGGAGGGAGGGAGGGAAGGGAGATGTAAGCTGTTCCAAGTAAAGCTGTATTTCCAACTGACTGATGGTGTTTGTCAGTGATGAGGGTGTTCAGCTACCGATCCAGACGTTTTGGGATTGCACCCAAGGCGTCTATCACTTTTGGTCCTAACTTTGCTTTATTTTCCAAATCATTCTTTGTTTATTTGCAGGCCTTTTAATTTTGCGACTTCCTTCCCTTTTTTCCCTCTCCTCTTCTGCTGTCTCCAGGTATTATTTTTATTATTATTTAATAAGATCATTAGCTCATTTTGGGGGGTGGGGGTGAGACGTTACATACGTATAGCTAATTGCTCTGGAAGGGAAGGAGGACGAAAAAGCTAATAATTTAATCAGTGGGACTTGGAAAGCCCCAAAGCCTCTGCATCTTATGACCCACAGTCTGGTTGCATTAATTTGAACTACCTCCATCTCAATAAATTACATTTCAGCTAAAATTAATTTTCAAAATTCGGGCAAAGATGGCGAAGCAGTTGGCAAAAGCAATAGCAGAAGAATTCCGTGCTTAGAATTCCTCATTAGGTTCTCCAAAAGCAAAGACAAGGAGATGCATCTGAAGCACTTAAATCTAAATCTGCTTGCAGCCGTAATCCACGTGGTTGAAGTTTTAATGCAGTTATTTTAGTTTTGCCAGTAATACACATTGCTTATGCCAGAATTGTTCCAGATTATTTCTTGAAGGGGGGATCTGATTCTGTCATATATGGATCAGGCTGCTATGAAATCACCCAGTTGAGCCCTGTTATGGTCAGGATTCACTAGATTTCAGAGAAGAGCGTCAAAGATGATTAGGGGACTGGAGACTAAAACATACAAAGAACGATTGCAGGAATTGGGTATGTCTTGTTTAATGAAAAGAAGGACCAGGGGTGACATGATAGCAATGCTCCAATACCTCAGGGGCTGCCCCAAAGAAGAGGGAGTCAAGCTATTCCCCAAAGCGCCTGAAGGCAGGACAAGAAGCAATGGATGGAAACTAATCAAGGAGAGAAGCAACCTAGAACTAAGGAGAAATTTCCTGACAGTAGGGAACAATTAATCAGTGGAACAACCTTCCTCCAGAAGTTGTGGATACTCCACCACTGGAGGACTTTAAGAAGAAATTGGACAACCATTTGTCTGAAGTGGTACAGGGTTTCCTGCTTGAGCAGGGGGTTGGACTAGATGACCCCCAAGGTCCCTTCCAACTCTGATATTCTTATACTCTGTTAGATCAGTATTTCTCTACTTCGGCAACTTTAAGATGCGTGGACTTCAACTCCCAAAATTCCCCCAGCCAGAATGCTGTTTGAGGAAATTCTGGGACTTGCAGTCCATGCATCTAACAGTCAGTTGCAAGGTTAAGAAAATCTGCCCTAGAGCCTCCATAACAGATGGTCATTGGCAATATTTGAAGACTTGCCATCCAATATAACTAGACCTCAGCCGTGTAGTTTTTCAGCATCTTTTACAAACTGGTTTTTTTTTTCAAATGTTGTTTAATTAGATTGTTTCCATTATTTTTTGAATTGGTGTGATATTATTATTATTATTTTGGATCATCACACAGTCAACCAGATGTTCAGACTGGATTTGGCATTTTGTCTACCTATCGAGTCCTTACCCAGGACCTGGGATAGGCAGATGTGGATGTTTGATGGTATTACAGGTATTGTCGCAGGATGGAAGCAGTTCCTAGTAAGGCCGCCTTTTGCAATTGACTAATAGCAAATTTGTCAATGCCAATGGTGTTCAAGTGGTGCTCCAGTTGTTTTGGGATTGCACCAAGGAGCCTATTACTATTGGTACTACCCTTGCTTGCTTTTGCCACAGTTTTTCTATTTCTATTTGTAGGTCTTTGTATTTTGTTATCTTCTCCAGTTCTTTCTCTTCTATTCTGCTGTCTCCAGGCACTGCCACGTCCACTATCCAGACTTTTTTGCCTTCTTATTGACAGTTGTTGTTGTTGTTGTTGTTGTTGTTGTTGTTGTTGTTATTCATTGCACAGTCAGCCAGATGTTCACATTGGATCTGGCATTTTTATCCACCTATCCTTCCCAAGGACCTGGAGTAGACAGGTGTGGTTGTATGGTGGTGATAAAAATACTGCTGCAGGATGTAAGCTGTTCCAAGTAAAGACGTCTTTTGTAATTGACTGATGGTGGATGTGTCAATGCCAGTGGGGGTTCAAGTGCTGCTTTAGGGATGTTTTGGAATTACCCTCAAGGTCCTTATTATTTGCAATAGTAAGGAAATGAAATCAGTAAGAAAAAGTTTTTTTCTGCGTCTGTTTGCTGAATTTTTTCCCCCTCCTCTTTTGTTTTTGCTCCATCCTAGATAATTACTACGGTACCCCCAAGCCTCCTCCAGAACCAGTCCCACTGCTATTAAATGTCACAGATCAGATCCTCCCAGGTGCCACGCCCAGTTCGGAAGGCAAACGGAAAAGGAACAAGTCAGTGAGCAACATGGAAAAAATGGGCATTGATCCGCCAGAGGAAGAAGAGGAAGAGAAAGCTGTGGTCAATGGCAATGGCATGGCAATCACACCAGGTGAGGCCTTTTTTTCTCCTAAGGTTTTTGTGCACTCCTGGGCTGCATTAACACAAGGATAGAATCAAGATCACGTGAAGTGTTGGTACCACTTTATCACCCCTTGATAAGGCCACACTTAGAATTTTGCATCCAGTCTTGGTCATTCACCACGATGTAAAAAGGATGTTGAGACTCTAGAAAGAGGGCAGAGAAGAGCAACAAAGACGATTAGGGGACTGGAGGCTAGAACATATGATGAACGGTTGTGGGAATTGGGTACATCTAGTCCAGGGGTAGGCAACCTTGGCTCTTTTATGATTCGTGGACTTCAGCTCCCAGAATTCCTGAGCCAGCCACGCTGAGGGGAAAGGGAGAGGTTTCCAAGCTGAGCCAGGCTGGCTGAGGAATTCTGGGAGTTGAAGTCCACAAGTCACAAAGCGGCCTAGGCCTAGACCAGAGGTAGGCAACCTTGGCTCTTTTATGACTGGTGGACTTCAACTCCCAGAATTCCTGAGCCAGCCACGCTGAGGGGAAAGGGAGAGGTTTCCAAGCTGAGCCATGCTGGCTCAGGAATTCTGGGAGTTGAAGTCCACGAGTCATAAAAGAGCCAAGGTTGCCTACCCCTGTTCTAGTCTCATGAAAAGAAGGACTAGGGGGGTGACAGGATAGCAGTCTTCCAATACCATAGAGAAGAGGTCCCCAACCTTTTGAGCACCAGGAACCGGTTCCGTGGAGAGGGGCTTTTCTCTGGACCGGAAGGGGCGTGGTTTCATGTACTGCCTGCATCCCGGTCCACGGATTGGGGGTTGGGGACCCCTGCCCTAGAGAAGAGAGGGTTGACTTGTTCTCCAAAGCACCTGAGGGCATGACAAGAAGTAATGAGTGGGAGGTTATCAAGGAGAGATCCGCACTTGAATTAAGAAGAAATTTCCTGACAGTGAGAACAAAGAACCAGTGGAACTGCTTGCCTTCAAGAAGTTTTGAGGGCTCCATCACTGGAGGCATTTAAGAAGAGACCGGACAGCCATTTGTTCAGGATGATATAGGCCAGGGGTAGGCAACCTTGGCTCTTTTATGACTCGTGGACTTCAACTCCCAGAATCCCTGAGCCAGCCATGCTGAGGGGAAAGGGAGAGGTTTCCAAGCTGAGCCATGCTGGCTCAGGAATTCTGGGAGTTGAAGTCCACCAGTCATAAAAGAGCCAAGGTTGCCTACCCTTGGTATAGGATCTCCTGCTTGAGCAGGGGGTTGGACTAGAACAGTGTTTCTCAACCTTGACAATTTTAAGGCATGTGGACTTCAACTCTCAGAATTCCACAGTCAGCAATGCTGGCTGTGGAATTCTGGGAGTTGAAGTCCACATGCCTTAAAATTGTCAAGGTTGAAAAACACTGGACTAGAAAGACCTCCAAGTTCCCTTACAACTCTGCTATTCTATTATTATGTTTTATACTCAGCATTTGCACACACGTAATCAGACAAAAACCGCCCCCTTATATCTCACAGTCTCTGGAGACACTTATTCCCCCTCTCTCATCCAAGAGTATTTAAGATTCCTTCCCTCCGGGTCAGGATTCTGAATTTGTGTCCAGGAATTTTTGTAACAGAAACCATTAACAATGGACCCTGAATAAAACAAGAGTAAATGTATGTTTCTGTGGGGTTTTTTTCTCCTGAATTATAGGAAATCCCATTAGGTAGTTGCCTGAGAATATGGAAGCGTTCTTTTTAATTATGTATTTCTTAAGGCTATGTTAAATTTGCAGACATGATCGGTGAGGAATGGGTGGGAACAATTAAGTTTTTCTAATCTGTCTCTGAGCAAGCTGCTACTTTTCTCTTTTATTCTGATTCCTCTTGCTAACATCTGCTAAGAACTTTTTGAGTGTGTCTAGTTTCTCAGAACCTTCTATTAATCTCTTGATTAATGACGTTGTTGTCATTAGCACCCCTTGTTTGTTCAGCTCAACGTGCAGATTCAGCTCTCCAGGTGTTCCATAATCAACTCTACTGAAGGTGGAACTTCCAAAAGTAATGTTAACATTTGCTGCCTCTTTAATTTTAAAGCAGGATTTCCATGAATGACTTGGATGGTTGATTTTTAAAGGAATTGTATAACTACAGCATACAGTTCCAACGAAAGTCTCTTGTATTGTTCATAACCAATGTTTTGGCCTTTCTTCTGCACAGCAATGTTGCTGGATCCATATCTGCAGCCGGGAAGATACCAAAGTCAGTTTTATAGTGCTATATAGGTTAGATTAGAATATGAAAAATGACATGAGCATAGCTTATCTCTACAAAGCCTAATGTCTTCCATTCTTCTTCCAGACTACAAGTTTTTCTGCAGATTTTCCCAATTGCACCCACCTAATTGCTAAACTGATAAATACTTCTCTATCTCAAAATACAGGAACAGATTGCTAATGGTTAACGTGAACCAGGAAACCTAAATACAACAAGAGTAGATTTGTGTTTCTGTGAGGGTTTTTTTCTGAATTATAGGAAATCCATTAAGTTGTGGCCTGAGAATATGGAAACGTTCTTTTTAATTATGTATTTCCTACGGGCAACTTAAATTTGCAAACACGAGAGGTGGATTCAAAGCCGGAAGCAAATGCGACAAGGAAAATTGAGATCATTTACCCCACCTCTCTTGCTACTGGGGCTGAATAAAATTCAGGACGGTGGGATGCCTTTTCAAAATAGAATCGTCGCATGTCCAAGGAATATGAAGGAAAATAGTAGTTGCAAGAACAGCAGTGGTTTGCCTTACCTGCAATAGAGATGGGTGAGGGAAGAGATGGCGTTTATCCCAACTCTGAAAGATATTTTAATCAGAATAGAGCTGGAAGAGACCTTGCAAGTCTTCTATTCCAGCTCTCTGCTCAAGCAACAAGTGGCTGTCCACTTGTTGAAAACCTCCAGTGATGAAGCATCCACAACTTGTTGAAAACCTCCAGTGATGAAGCACCCACAACTTCTGGAGGCAAGCTGTTCCACTGGTTAATTGCCCTCACTGTGAGGAAGTGTCTCCTTAATTCCAGGTTGCTTCTCTCCTTGATTAGTTTCCATCCATCGCTTCTTGTCTTGCCTTCTGGTGCTTTGGGAAATAAGTTGATCCCCTCTTCTTTGTGGCAGCCCCTCAAATATTTGAATACTACTATCATGTTCTCCCCCCCCCAAAAAAAGTCCTTCTTTTCTCTAGACTAGACGTACCCAGAAACTCAAATACTTTGGCCACCTAATGAGAAGGAAGGACTCACTGGAGAAGAGCCTAATGCTGGGAAAGATGGTGGGCAAGAGAAGAAGGGGACGACAGAGAATGAGGTGGCTGGAGGGAGTCACTGAAGCAATAGGTGTGAATTTAAATGGACTCCAGAAAATGATAGAGAACAGGAAGACCTGGAGGAACGTTGTCCATGGGGTCGCGATGGGTCGGACACGACTTCACAATTAACAAGAAGAAGAAGAAGACGTACCCAATTCCTGCAACCATTCTTCGTATGTTTTAGTCCCCAGGCCCTTCATCATCTTAGTTGTTCTTCTCTACACTTTTTTTCCAAAGTCTCAATATCTTCTTTATAATGTGATGACCAAAACTGGATGCAGTATTCTAAGGTGTGGCCTTACTAAGTTCTCTGAACTTCTCTGAACTTCTCATCAAACTCATGTCTGAGCTTTTATCCTCTTCCTGTGATGCAGCTTAATGTTTGAAAGTAGGTCGCCTAAAACATGCCAGACTGGTTTCCATTGGTTACAGAAAGGAAAGACTTAATTTAGAAGTTCGTCTTCAGCAAATCTGGAAAGATTTGGCCTGTCTTAAATGTTGCAGCTCAGAATATTTTGTCGTCGCGCTTTTAATAGTTTTAAATGAATCCTTTCTAGAGAAGAAAATGCTTCGCGCTAAATGTGATTTGTCTCTATACACAGTACATCGCTTCGGGTAGAAAAGAGTCACTTACCAAAGTAGTAGCGCAAAATCCTTGCCGTTGGAGCCAAAATCAAGGGAACTCCCTCAGGTTTGTAGAAAAATAATGATACAAAGAGATTAAACCAACTGCAGGATCCTGAGAGGATTTTATTTAGATTAAAAAGTTTGTGATCCCTGTAACATTGTTAGGTTTATTGGAATAAAGCCATCTTTGGTACTTAAAAGAAAAATGACAGCCAACGGAGGAAAACTATGTAGCTGATTTTATATATACAGTATAAAGAATGTCACTATTGGGAGATTAGTCTGACTACCTTTAATCTATTGGGTCAAATTATATCACTGTCTATCAAGGCACGTGTGCAGTTAACGAGTAGGCTGGCTTGGTCGCTCAACAGCAAGACCCTGGTGAAGCGGGCACAGCAGTGCCTGCATTTTCTGCGTCGCCTGAGAAAAGCACATCTTCCTTCCCCTGTCCTGACCACTTTCTACAGAGGGACGATCGAGAGCATCCTGTCATACAGCATCACAGTCTGGTTTGGAAGCATCACTGCTTCGGACAGGAAGGCAATGCAGAGAGTGGTGAGGACGGCAGAAAAGATTATTGGCAGTTCTCTCTCTTCCATCCAGGACATAGCACAGAAGCGTTGCTTGAGCAGGGTCCATAAGATTATCTGGGACACTACACACCCTCTCCACGACCTGTTTTCCTTGTTCCCTTCTGGGAGGAGGGGGCTCCGTGGTATCCGTAGCAGAACATCCAGATTCAGCCATAATTTCATTCCATACAGCATTAACCTTGTGAACTCTCAAGTTCCTCCTTCCATTATATATTCAAGATGGACAGTATTTAATATTTATTTGCTACGTATATGTAGGGGTGTGGGTCTATACATAGGTTGTACATAGTATGTTTAGGTATGTGTCATGTATGTGTTTCACTTTGAGAGTGGGCAACTAAATTTCATTTTTGATGTGTGCCGTTGTGCCCACAGTAAAAAAATGACAATAAAGGTTATCTTATTTTATCTAGTTTGGTGTAGTGCTGAAGGTCCTAGCCTAGAAACCAGGTGATGATGAATTCTAGAACTCTTTTAAGCATAAAAACCGGCTGGGTGACTTTGGGGTCAACTCTCAACTCAGCCCTTCCCACCTTACAGGGTTTTGTTGAGGGGAATATATGATTTTAGGTGTGTTTGCTACTTGAAATAGAGATTGATATATAGTGTAGGAGAAGAACAGACTGAGCTGGAAGGTGGTGTTAAACATGTCATCAGTTTGGAATCAATGCATTGCCACAAGAGACTCAAGTCCAGCCCAACAAATCTTCCTGGTTATATCCTGCGAATGATATAGTGAGAAATGAGAGTGAAGGTTCATTCTCCGAGCTTGTGGGTTAGTTTCTGAATGTTTTGTTACCAGGCTTAGGTAACATCTAACAGATATTCGCCACTATTGCAAATAGTAAAAAATAATGATGATGACGATGAAATTATTCATTAATAATGAAGATCACAAGGCATCAAGATCAAAAAATGATTGCACAGTATAGTGTACATCATAATAATAGCACGTAGTTGTTGATTATTTATTTGATTCTGGGCCAGGCTGAAGTTTATAACTAGAAAGGCCAAACTAGGCTGACCTCTTCATTTTGCCCCTGTGTCACTCCCGCTCTGTCTTCATAAGTAATGATCTGGAGATGCCCTCCTGAACTCTAGTCACACCAATTGTGCTTCACTGCAAAAATAATCAACTACAAACAATGTAAGCTATTATTGTGGCCTAGTGGTTAAATTGCTTGGCTGTCAATTGAACGTTCAAGATCCAAGTAGCTCATGATGGGATGAGCCCCTGTTTCTTGCCCCAACTCCTGCTCACCCAGCAGTCCAAAAGCATGCAAATGCGAGACGGTAAATAGGTACCACTTCAGTGGGGAGGCCACAGTGTTGTGTGATCACAGAAGATGTCTTTGGACAACGCTAGTTCCCTTGGCCAAGAAACAGAGGTTTCTGCCCCCTAGAGTCAAATATGACCAGATAGGGCAGTGGTGGCGAACCTATGGCTCGTGTGCCAGAGGTGGCACTCAGAGCCCTCTCTGTGGGCACGCACGCCGTTGCCCCAGTAGAGTTCTCCAGAGTAGCGAGCACATGGCGTTTGGAAGTGACGGGGCAGGAAGTGAGTGAGCAAGTGGCATTGGCCCCCTGGGGATGCCCCAGAGATGGCGAGGGACTGGTCCCGGCCACCCTGCTCCCAGCCCACCCATCCCGGCCATGCCCACCCAATCTGCCATGACCACCGCAGCTGTGACCACCACGCTGTGCCCACACCAGCGACCATGCCTACCCAGCGGCCGTGCCCACCCAGTGGGCCACGACCCCCCACTCCCCCTGAGAGCACCACAATGCTGATGCGGCGTTGGCACTTTGTAATAAATGAGTGGGTTTGGGGTTGCAGTTTGGGCACTCGGTCTCTAAAAGATTTGCCATCACTGAGACAGGGGAAACCTTTATCTTTACCTTTAAAAATGACGTCCGTGTTTTTGTCCATGCAGAGTCAAGTGAACATGAGGAGAAGAGCACAGGTGCCTCAGGAGAAACTTCATCTCAGCCTTATCCTGCTCCTCTTTATAGCCAGCCGGAAGAAGTGAAAGAGGAGATGGATGTAACCAAGCAGCCCAAAATTGAAGAAAACGACGAATTGGGGGCCTTGCCAGATAACTGGGAAATGGCTTACACAGAGAAAGGGGAAGTCTACTTTATTGAGTAAGTACTACCTATTGCAAAGGGAATAAGTCCCTCCCAGCTCTGAATTCAGTGGGACCCACTCCGACGAATGATGTAGTTCTACTGATAATAGCCAGGATCTTGTGTGATGTGATTAGAGTTCCTTAGGACTATGTTGTTGTTGTTGTTAATTGTGAAGTCGTGTCCAACCCATTGCGACCCTATGGACCATGTTCCTCCAGGCCTCCCTGTCCTCTACCATCTTTTGGAGTCCATTTAAGCTCAAGCCTACTGCTTCAGTGACTCCATCCAGCCACCTCATTCTCTGTCGTCCCCTTCTTCTCTTACCCTCCATCTTTCCCAGCATCAGGCTCTTCTCCAGTGAGTCCTTCCTTCTCATTAGGTGGCCAAAGTATTTGAGTTTCAACTTCAGGATCTGGCCTTCTAAAGAGCAGTTGGGGTTGATCTCCTCTAGGACTGACCGGTTTGATTGCTTTGCAGTCCAGGGGACTCGCAGGAGTCTTCTCCAGCACCAGAGTTCAAAGGCCTCCATTCTTTGGTGCTCAGCCTTTCTTATGGTCCTTAGGACTATACAGTTTATTTATTTAAATCAGGGTCTCCAATCTTGGCAACTTTAAGATTTGTGGACTTCAGCTCCCAGAATTCCCTAGCCAGCATGGCAGGCTGAGGAATTCTGGGAGTTGAAGTCTACGAATCTTAAAGTTGCCAAGATTGGGGGGGCCCTGATTTAAATTATTTAACTTTTAGTATTACCCTATGGGCTAGTCAGTGTCTTAAACCATTCATTTAGTTTTGAAAGTTTGGCATAATCACAGTGATGCTTTTTCATGTAGGCCTTGTTAAGATGAATATTCTTGTGTTGCTTATATAAAAGATGTAAAGACTTAGCAGGTGCCAACTATAAAGTAAAACAAGTCCCTTTTATTTCCGTTTCTGGGAATTGATGTGAAAGTTGTTGGGTAGACGTTGCGCAAGTGCTTCCTGATTTGAGTTTTCTGACTGAGGAAGGTCGGCATGAGTTAATAGGAGTGAGTTGCTCATAATTGATCTGTATTCTCTCCCGAGTGCAGGGGTAGGCAACCTTGGCTCTTTTATGACTCGTGGACTTCAACTCCCAGAATTCCCGATTCAGCCATGGTGAGGGGAAAGGGAGAGGTTTCCAAGTTGAGCCATGCTGGCTCAGGAATTCTGGGAGTTGAAGTCCACGAGTCATAAAAGAGCCAAGGTTACCTACCCCTGCCCTAGTGCATCTTGTCTTTGTAAAGCTGGCGGTGCTACGTGGCACAGAACAGGAAGCCAGCAAGTGGAAGTAGTTTTAATACATCTACACAGTGCCGTTGTCCAAATACATTACATCATATGACATAGTATAGAGGTTACCTAGCAAATACTTTAAGGGAACATTTCCTCCCCCCTCCCCCCCCCCACCCTTTCTAATACACTTCATCAATTTCATGACCTCTTATTCCCCGTTTCTATTTTAAACCCCTGGCTGTTCTCCAAGGATTGGCTGCATGTGCATTAGATGGACTGAAATAAATGCATAATAGCACTCGGAATTTTCCTGCAGATTTCCCAACAGCGCATAAGAGCCGAGGTGGCGCAGCAGTTAGAGTGCAGTACTGCAGGCCACTTTAGCTGCCTGTGTTCAGCAGGTCAGCGGTTCAAATCTCACCGGCTCAAGGTTGACTCAGCCTTCCATCCTTCCGGGATAGGTAAAATGAGGACCCAGATTGTTTGGGGGCAATGTAAATATATATATATATACATTGCTTACTGGTGTACACCGCTTAGAGAGTGCTTGCACTTAAAGCGGTATATAAGTCTCATAAATAAATAAATAAATAAATAAATAAATAAAGTGGCGGTACAAAAATACGTCGGGTCACTTTAACTCCACTCTGTCCAATGGAAAAAGATCAGACTTTTCTGACCTTTGTGAAATTTCCGGACTTTTCTGAAATTTATGGACGGGATTTGTTGGCTAATGAACACGAGCCATTTTGAAAGCAGGCAAATAATAATAATAATAATAATAATAATAATAATAATAATAATAATAATAATAATATTAGTGGACGTGGCAGTGCCTGGAGACAGCAGAATAGAAGAGAAAGAACTGGAGAAGATAACAAAATACAAAGACCTACAAATAGAAATAGAAAGACTATGGCAAAAGGAAGCAAGGGTGGTACCAATAGTCATAGGCTCCTTGGGTGCAATCCCAAAACAACTGGAGCACCACTTGAACACCATTGGCATTGACAAATTCGCTATTAGTCAGTTGCAAAAGGCGGCCCTACTAGGAACTGCTTCCATCCTGTGACGATATCTGTAATACCATCAAACATCCACATCTGCCTATCCCAGGTCCTGGGTAAGGACTCGATAGGTAGACAAAATGCCAAATCCAGTCTGAACATCTGGCTGACTGTGCGATGATCCATAATAATAATAATAATAATAAAGTTGGAAGGGACCTTGGAGGTAATCTAGTCCAACCCCCTGCTTCAGGCAGGAAACCCTATACCATGGCTGTCCAGTCTCTTCTTAAAAACTTCCAGTGTTGGAGCATTCACCGCTTCTGGAGGCAGGTTGTTCCACTGGTTAATGGTTCTAACTGTGAGGAAGTTTCTCCTAGGTTGCTTCTCTCCTCATTTAGTTTCCATCCATTGCTTCTTGTCCTGCCTTCAGGCACTTTGGAGAAGAGCTTGACTGCCTCTTCTTTGTGGCAGCCCCTGAGATACTGGAACACGGCTATCATGTCCTCCCTCGTCCTTTTCCTCATTAAACTAGACAGACCCAATTCCAGCAGCCGTTCCTTATGCAAGTAGATAAATAGGTACCACTTTGGTGGGAAAGTTACAGTGTTCCGTGTGCTTCAGCATATATCTATGCTGGCCGCATGACCACGGAAGCATCTTTCATGGCTGACTCGCTAAGCGCCCCACTCACAACCAGACAAGAGAAACTGGGCAGGTTTGGAATGCAAGAGAGCCAACCGTCACCTGGCAATGTCCTAGTCCCCAAGGTCAAATGATGGGGAAGCTTCAAGGTGAATTGATTGGTAGACAATGAACAAGTGGGTGGCCCAGGGGAGAAAAGGGGATTTTTACCTATGCTGCTTCGTGTGCGAAAACTTCAGATCATCGGGAATACAAAACAAGCTTTGTCGTTCTTTTCATCATTTTCATTTAAACCCACTTTCTTTCCACGAACAAAAATGCTTATTGAACAGTTTGATCAAAGCAATACGGGTAGTCCTCCACTTACAACAAGTCATACAACAAGGGTCCGAAGTCAGAAAAATGATTTACAACTTATTCTTGGAGTGACATGTGTGACTTGTCCCTGCGGTCACACAATCACAATTTGGGCGCTTGGCAAATGTCTCGCTTTAACAACAGTCGAAGCCTCTTGCTTATTCGCACGATCGCGATTTGTGACTTTACCAGCAAGCACAGTCCATTTGTGGAAGCTGGATTTGCTGAATCGCAACTGTGACTCCGTGTAACAACCGCGGTGATTCGCTCGGCAGCTGTGGTTAAAAATTGCCGTAATAGCGGGAGCGGTCACACGAGGACCACATCGCTTAGCAACCAAAATCCCTGTCTCCGTTGTGATCAAAAGTCCAGGACTGTCTATCCAAAATACATTCTTCACCATGTTGTGTAAGATTTATCATCAGGACAAGAATGTTGTCTAACAGAACAGTTCATTTAGTGACCATTCCAAGTTACAACAGCACTGAAAAACGTGACTTAGAACCACTTTTCACGCTTGCGACCGTTACACCATCCCCAGGGTCACGTGATCAAAATTCAGATGCTTGGCAGCTGGCCGGTACTTAGGACGGTTTCAGTGTCCCGTGATCCCCCTTTTTGTGACAAGCAAAGTCAGTGGGGCAGCCGGATTCACTTAACAACTGTGTTACTAACTTAACACTTTCAGTGATTCCCTTAACAGCTGTGACAAGAAAGGTCGTAAAATAGAGAATGTATCCACATTCTCCTAACCACTGACTCTTTTTTTTTTCTTTTCCTTAACTGGAATGTGTGTGGTCCTCATTTTTGAGCCCTACATCCAATGATTATTTCAGTGTTTCCCAAACTTGACAATTTTAAGGCATGTGGACTTCAACTCCCAGAATTCCACAGCCAGCGTTGCTTGAAGTCCTCATGCCTTAAAATTGTCAAATTTGGGAAACACTGGATTATTTGATTGTAGAATTGCTTTGGGGCCCAGCAATGGTGCTTTGCTGTCTCAGTTATTTGGAAGACATAATAGTATTATAAATAAATGATTGGACAATCGTCATTGTCTTTTCCCATGGAGTTTTAAAACTGGGAAACGCACTAGACGCCTTGAATAAATAACTCTAACCAGCTCTTGGGGTTTCATAGAAGAAGATACTACAAGACCAGGGGGGTTTGGTTACTATTAGTTTACTTCGCTGAGTGCAGCAATGGCAATGTATATATATATATTTTGTCCAAGCTAATTAGTGCATTTAGTATGGCGTTTTACTGAATGTTTCCCTCGCGATGAAACCAACTGGATTCTTGGCTGACCAAACGGTAACTTGCTAGGAAATAAAAAGTTAACGGCGTTGAAATGATCTCTCTCGTTCTGTGTTCCCTTCTAGTCTCTTCCCGTTTATTCTCTCTGCCAATTTGCCCGAAGTGAATGCTTTAAATGGCTTGCCTTGAATGACTGGGGGAGCAGAAGGTGACATTTAGAAAACAATTCTTGGTTTTCCTATTTGGGAAGATTGCCATAATTGAAGTTTGGGTCCCTGTAAAGGTTCAATTTAAAAAGCGCAGCTGGGAGTCAGAATGCAGGTGAGGTTGATGTATAAGTTTAGGAGTGCTTATGCTAGTGGTGGCGAATCTTTTAGAGACCGAGTGCCCAAACTGCAACCCAAAAAACCCACTTATGTATGTCGGGTGCCGGGTGGGCGTGGCCCATTGGGTGGGTGTGGTCCATTGGGTGGGCGTGGCTTTGGTGGTAACAGCAGACTGGATGGGACTAAAAAATTCAATCAATTCCAACTTTGTGAGATCTTTTTTTTCCCCCGCGAGAAGTTGAAACTGATTGATTGATTGAACCTTTTATTTTTGCACATGGCAGTAGAAGCCTAAAGTGAAAAGGTTTTATAAAACCCAGCTGAAGGCCTAGAACTAGGGTGACGGCACGCGTGCCCATAGAGAGGGCTCTGCGTGCCACATGTGGCACTCGTGCCATAGGTTTGCCACAACGGGCTTATGCGGTTTTTCGCTTTAGAAGAATTGAGCCAAACGTGGCTTGTTGTTGTTGTTTTTCCCCCAAATGGCAACTGGACTTTCTGTGTTTTCCTTGAAGACGTTTCACTTTTCATCCAAGAAGCTTTTTCAGTTCCAACCGAATGGTGGGGAAATGGAAGGATTTATACTCCTTGCAGACAGCTAGTCGTTCTTGGATGATGTCTGCATATAGTTAAGTAAACAGAGTCATGATATTTCACAGTGGTGGGTCTTCATGTGTCGCTGAATTTCTACCACCCAACTTTCCACACCACAGTAGGGGCATCTTGGTAGCCCAACTGGAGATGATGTAAATTAGATTTACAACTAGTTAATGAGGACACTGTGATGGGATGTGCACAGAGGCAAGGTAGGTGCGATTTTTCCTAAAAGAACTTATACGCTGCAGAAGTTCAGGCTGAAAGCAAGAGGGTCTGCAGAAGAAGGACCCCAAGCGGGCAACATGGCTCATGCAGAGCTATCAGAGTTAGTGCTCAGTGTGCGTAACACCCAGACAAGGCTAACAATGTGACCTTTAATCAAGATCTTATCCTTGTGCCTTTGATAGATTTCTTTTTTTTAATATGGAGATTTTTATCCCCCTGTTAGAAAGAACATTCCATTCTGTATATCTGGAGTGGTTTGACAGATTTTTCCTCACAAGGTGAAATCAAAAATCAAGAAGACAATGGAGATCAGGGTATGTAACTTTCCTCCACCTATTGGAATTCAGACATGTCTTAGGAAACAGAATTCGTCTCCAGTCATGCTGATCAACTGAGATCCAGGCTACTTCAGTTTGATCATAATTAAAGCAAATTTCACTTTGGGGGGAAAGAGAATGGATTGATTCTAATCATGGCTAATCCAAAATTCAACCATGCACATTTTTTTTTTCCATTCTCAGATTCAGCAGTTTAGAGTTTAGGTCGTACTGAAGGTGTTACCTAGTTGGGTAACGCATCTTCAAGAAAACTATCAAGCTCAGAGAACACCAAGGACCCCACAGTTCTCCTCCCTTTCCTCTCTTCCACTCCACAAACTCCACTCCCTTCTAGCACTGATGAAGTTACCTAATTAGGTAATGAAACATCTTCAAGAAAACCACCAAATTCAGAGAGCACCAAAAAAACCCACAGTTCTTCTCCTCCTTCTTCTCTTCTACTCCACAAATCCCATTCCCTTCTAGAACTAATGATGTTACCTAGTGTGGTAAAGAAATGATGTTACCTAGTGTGGTAAAGAAATGTCTGCAAGAAGAGCACCAACTTCAGAGAGCACCAAGGACCCTACAGTCTTCTTCTTCTTCTCCTTCTCCTGCTTCTCTTTCTTCTTCTTCTTCTTCTTCTTCTTCTTCTTCTTCTTCTTCTTCTTCTTCTTCTTCTTCTTCTTCTTCTCCTTCTGCTACTTCTCTTTCTTCTTCTCTTTCTTCTTCTTTTGCTTCTGCTTCTCTTTCTTCTTCTTCTTCTTCTTCTTCTTCTGCTTCTGCTTCTGCTTCTGCTTCTTTCTTCTTCTGTTTCTTCTTCTGCTTCTGATTCTCTTTCTTCTTCTTCTTCTTCTTCTTCTTCTTCTTCTTCTCCTTCTGCTACTTCTCTTTCTTCTTCTCTTTCTTCTTCTTTTGCTTCTGCTTCTCTTTCTTCTTCTTCTTCTTCTGCTTCTGCTTCTGCTTCTGCTTCTTTCTTCTTCTGTTTCTTCTTCTGCTTCTGATTCTCTTTCTTCTTCTTCTTCTTCTTCTTCTTCTTCTTCTTCTTCTTCTTCTTCTTCTTCTTCTTCTTCTTCTTCTTCTTCTTCTTCTTCCTCATCCTCCTCATTCTCATCCCTTCTAGAACTAATGATGTTATCTAGTTGGGTAATGAAACATCTTCAAGAAAACAAGCTTCAAAGAGAGTTTAGATTCTACAGTATTTCAGTTTCTAGAGACTAGAAATTGACAATCGACAAAAAGTCCAACCTATCAGTCTACTTCAAAGTCAAAAGAGAAAGTCCAGTCCAGATTAAAACCTGTGACATCCTCTGTGTGATTAAAAATGTCACACTACTTTGGGCACAAAAAGCAATCAATAGTATCAACGTGCTTGGACTTTTGAGAGGCTGTTTGATCTTTCATCACCCTTCATTAAAAGAAAAAGACTTGGATGAATGGTTAGGTTAGTCAACAAATGGCAGATAAATCAAAACTTTCATAACTCATTCCTAAGTGGCCAATCCAAAATGAGTAGCCTCCGATGTTGTGTTTAATAAATAAATTGTCCATTACCTAAGAGTTTAGTGGTTGTATGAAGAGAGAGAAAGAAGATACATGTTACCCCAAAATCTGTCTTTTAAGATTGGGAACTAATAGACCGCATCCATGGGTGGCTTTGTGCTAATGAGAAGTGTCTTTCTTGCATACGTTTGAACACACAATTCTCAACATTTTCTAACCTTTATAGTTTACTACACCATGTCCAATTTGAAGGACAACATTTGGGCAATCTCTAGAGATAAGCCCTACTGCAGGGGTCTTCAAACTTGACAACTTTAAGACTTGTGGACCTCAACTCCCAGAATTCAGCCAGCCAGCCCTGGGAGTTGAAGTCTACAAGTCTTAAAGTTGTCAGGTTTGAAGGCCCCTGCCCTACTGGATGGTCAATAATGGAGAAAGAACTCAAGAAAAACATCCTGGCTCAAAGGCAGGGGGAAAACCCCAAGTTTTTAATGTCTTTGAAGGAGAGAGGAACATCAGGAAATGGAAGAAAACACATGCCATATTGCTTTGATAAGACCATACTTGGAATGATATGTCCAGTTTTGGTCACCAAAACATACATACGAAAAATGCTGAGACTGTAGAAAGGTTGTAGAGAAGAACAACAAAAATGTTTAGAGGTCTGGAAGCTAAAACATATGATGAAGGGCTGCAAGAACAGGGTATATCTAATAATAATGATGATGATGATAATGATAATGATAATAATAATAAAGTTGGGAGGGACCTTGGAGGTCATCTAGTCCAACCCCCTGCTCAGGCAGGAAACCCTACACCATTTCGGACAAATGGCTGTCCAGACTCTTCTTAAAAACTTCCAGTGTTGGAGCATCCACAGCTTCTGGAGGCAGGCGGTTCCACTGGTTAATTGTTCTTACTGTCAGGAAGTTTCTTCTTAGTTCTAGGTTGCTTCTCTCCTTGATTAGTTTCCATCCGTTGCTTCTTGTCCTGCCTTCAGGCGCCTTGGAAAATAGCTTGACTCCCTCTTCTTTGGGGCAGCCCCTGAGATATTGGAACACTGCTATCATGTCCCCCCACCTTGTCCTTCTCTTCTAGTTTAACAAAGAGAAGGACCAGGGGTGACATGATAGCAGTTTTCCAATATTTGAGGGGCTGTCACAGAGAAGAAGTGATCAACCTATTTTCCAAATGTATCAAGGAGATGGAAACCTATCAAGGAGATAGACTAAGAAGAGAAATTTCTTGATGTCAAGAGCAATCAACTAGCATGCCTCTTGAATTTATAGATGTTCCATCACTGGAAGTTTTAAAGAAGAGACTCGACAGCTGTTTGTCTGAAATCATATAGGGTCTTCCAATCTATTATTCTGTTAAGTGCTTCCTTGAAGTCATCATTGTCTAACAGACATCTCTCCATCTCATTTATCATTCTAAAAGTAGTTGTTCTTTCTTCTCTCTCTCTCTCTTTTTGCTGGCCTTTTATCTGTCAAGCATGAAGAAGGACGTGTGTTTTTTAAAAGTTTGACGTCTAATTTTATTTATACGTTTGTCGTTGTTGTTTGGTCCATTTATCTGGGAAGCTATCCTCTTTCTTGACCACCTCACCCGAATCTAGAATTCATTTCCTTGGTTATTCAAGGGCAAGGTTTTGGGAATTGCTGTTTTAGATTCCATCCAGTGGACCGTGTGATTCTTTTCAACATCCGCAAAATATACTTTTATCCACAGAGCCGGACAAAATACGGAATAGATGAACGTTGCTTAAATGGAGGATCATTAATCACAGACTTAGGAAAAACAGAACCTGTAACACACTGCATCTCTCTCCGTCACTGTGTCTGTTCAGAAATTATATGTACAAGGTGGCTTTCTTTAGCATTGAAACCAAGCCCGTCGCCCAAAAGCCAGCAAACGAGCAGAGAAGTCTCTTAACTGCACCCCTATTTTGTTGGGAGAATGCTGTAAATTCCTTTTGCCCTGGATGAGTTCTGCATGTACAATGAGGTTAGCTTGGCAACCGTTCCAGTGGTGTTTAATAAAAATAGCTGCTTTGAGGACAAGGCGCTGGGGCTGCCAAAATTAGAGGCTCCCTTCGACAATTACGCTTATAACCTCCTCCAGGTCTACTCAGAACCAGTAAGCAAATAAAGATATGGATTGCAACTCTGTGGAGCTGACCTCTCTCCCGTCCCCTTCCTTTTCCAGCCCCCCACCCCCACCCTCTTTTCAACCAGTATCAGAAGGAATCGACATGATCCCACTTGCAATGTGTCTGATTGGAGCAATCTCTTTTCTTTTCAGCCACAACACAAAGACTACATCATGGCTGGATCCGCGCTTGGCGAAGAAGGCTAAACCACCCGAAGAATGCAGAGAAAATGGTAGGCTATTAACTTTTCATCGGCTGCTGGGGAGAAATATCTATACCTATTGGAGAGGGAGAGGAAGCGAAGTTTCCCCGTGTCTCTGAGTTGTTAGCAGGAGAAAATATTTAGGGGGGGGGGAAGGAGAGTTTAACTGGAGCTGGGAGGCTGCAATTTGCTCTGGTGTGAGCCTGTAGTTCGTATTTATTTCTAGTCCCGAGGCTGTCCTATTCCAGTCTAAGAATAACAACTAGTGCTGGGATTTGGGCTTGGAAGCTGTTTTTAATTCCCATCTTGGTCTGTAGACCCTCCATTCCGATTCTAAGCGTCAATCTCTGCCAGGCAGAGCATCTGGGCCAATGGTGCACAACCGGAGCAGGGAATACAGATGATGGGGTTTTTTTGTGTCAAGGGAGGCTCTGTGACAGCAGCGTAGTTAAGCAGCCAGTTTAAAATAAAACACGAAGAGGGGAGGGGAGCTATCTCTTCTTAAAGGGGCACAATGATTCTGTTAGAACGGTGTATTATCCACGAAGCTCATTTTGTTATTATCCTCTTGCTTGAACGCATTATGAAAATCCTGCTGATTAGCCCCCTTGAACAGTGCTACCATCACCATAATGGAAATTGCACAGATGGGAGGGTGCATTATAAGCAGTCCTTTCCCCCCCCCCCAGATTTTTCCAAGGCAGGAAAGATACACGCAAAAAAAGGGGGGGGGGCTGGTCCAGGCAATTTAACTGCTCCAGAGAAAACCCACCCCCACCCTCCAGTCATTTGCTTTTTAGTGTGATTTTCTAAATTGAGCACGGTTTATTACTCAAAATGCTAGTCGAGGGGACTTGTGGAATTCATAGAAAAGTGAGGACCAAGTATCAAAACCAAGCCATCCTCTGATAATCAAGGGGTGGATTTTCCCCACGTCCTTATTTACCACGTAACTATCTCAGAGAGCAGGGGGGTGAAATTCCTTGGTGACACCTAGTTCATTCTAATATTTTTTCTATTCGACCCCATCTTCTCCCAATATATTTGGATCCTATCTTCATTCAGAATACAGAACAGGGTGGGAGGGACCTTAGAGGTCTTCTAGTCCAACCCCCTGCTCAAGCAGGAGAGCCTATATACTATTCCAGACAAACGGTGGCCCAGCCTTTTCTTAAAAACCTCCTGTGATGTTTTCTGCCCTCTTTATGGTAGGTGTTTGAAAATATTACGTCCCTCGTTCATCTTATTTTACTGGAAGAATTTACACCCCTCCTTTTAGATGCAAAAACTAATCCATCATGAAGTGTCAAGTCAGGACTGATGTCGCAAAACCAAGGTAGAAAAATATAAATTCCCCTTCCGCCTTTTAAAATATTGATGTTCCTCATTTATATCAAGTCTTCCTTCAAGTTTTTAACATCCAGCAGGACTTCCAAATCCTTTCCGGAAAAAATCCTGGTTATGATTTTGGAATTCCTTTTCGTCAGCAAATAATTTTAAACAAACAAACAAACAATCTGTGCCCATTAAAGCTTGTATGGATAATTTAATTGCTGAGTGTTGTTATACCTACCAATATTTTACAAGCTAAGTTTCTTGCTTGTTAACACTTCACTTTTCTGGAGTTTAGCCACAAAACCATGAACCAAAAGTAATTCTGTTACTGCTGGTCCTATAGCTGATCTAGAATAAGACACGCAATAAGAATATAGCATACATTGGTGTGTTCACCATTTGATGGATGATTGTATACAAATTCTGTTGTTGTTTTAAAAAAAAATACCCGCTTCCATTGAAATAATAACACAATCTACCATAGATTATACAGTAGATTATATAACAAAATAACAAAGTTGGAAGGGACCTTAGAGGTCTTCTAGTTTAACTCCCTGGTGTAGAAGGAGACCCTATACCATTCCAGACAGGTAGCTATCCAGTCTCTTCTTAAAATGCTCCAGGGTTGGAGCACCCACAACTTTTGAAGGCAAGTTCTTCCATTGCTTTATTGTTCTCACTGTTAGGAAGTTTCTCCTTAATTCCAGTTTGGTTGTCTCCTTATTTCCATCCATTGCTTCTTCTCCTGCCTTCAAGGGCTTTGGAGAATAGCTTGACTCCCTCTTCTTTGGGGCAGCCCCTGAGATGTTGGAACACTGCTATCATGTCACCCCTGGTCCTTCTCTTCATTGAACTAGACATACCCATTTCTAGCAACCACTTTTGATATGTTTTAGCCTCCAGCCCTCTAATCATCTTTGTTGCTCTTCTCTGCACTCTTTCCAGAGTCTCAACATCTTTCTTACATGATTAATTGCTCTTGCTCCTTATTCCTCCTTAGTTCTAGGTTGCTTCTCTCTTTGGTTAGTTTCCATCTGTTGCTTCTTGTCCTGCCTTCAGGTGCTTTGGAGAATAGCTTGACTCCCTCTTCTTTGGGGCAGCCCCTGAGATATTGGAAGACTGCTATCATGTCACCCCTAGTCCTTGTTTTCACTAGATTAGACATACCCAATTCCTGCAAGTATTCTTCGTATGTTTTAACCTCCAGGCTCCTAATCATCTTTGTTGCTCTTCTTTGCACTCTTTCCAAAGTCTCAACATCTTTTTTGTAATGTGGTGTCCAAAACTGGTCATGTTTCATGTTCTATCCTCCCGTGTAGATTTTACAAGGAGGAGGATTTAGGCCAGAAGACTCAACCTACCTGCTTTTGATTTGCCCCAAGGTGACACCAGCTTCTTAGTATCCTTTCACTGTTTAGGTGTATATAGAACTTTGGGGGTTTTTTTCTCCAAAACACAGCTATTGATTCAAGAAACACCTCTCAAATTGCTGAGAGACCCTGAGAGAAAATGCATCTTCAGCAGCTCCTTCAAATCAACAGGATTATGGATATTTGATGAAATGCAGATTGAAGTAGAAAGAAGATGGAATAAGCGCCTGTCGCTGATCTCTTCGGAGTCTTGCTTGCACATTCCATCTGCCAGCGATATTCAGGACTCGGTAGTACATATGTCGCAAAAAATATGTTTTCCCTAAATGGAGTCTGTCAAGTTAGTCGGTCACATAGGTGTCTCTCCAAAGCCTGTTTCAGATGTTGAGTGAATGTTGGGCTTAATTTACATTGGGATGCAGGCAAGTTGAACTGTAGAATATTTCTAGCCTAGTATGGGGAAATACAGATAGTCCTCGCTTAGCCTGAAATTTCTGTGGCTAAGCGAGACATTTTGTTAAGTGAATTTTGCCCCATTCTACAACCTTCCTCGCCACATTTGTTAAGTGAATCCCTGCAGTTGTTAAGAGAATAACACGGTTGTTAAGCGAATCTGGCTTCCCCCCGTTGGCGTTGCTCGCCAGAAGGCAGCAAGAGGGGATCACGTGACCTGGGGATGCTGCGACCGTCCTAAGTACGAGTCAGTTGACAAGCATCTGAATTTTGACTGTGGGAACAGGGGGATGCTACAAGAGTAGTAAATATGTAAAATGGTCATAACTGATTTTTTTCCAGTTCCCTGGTAACTTCAAACAGTCACTAAACCAGGGATAGGCAACCTTGGCTCTTTTATGACTCGTGGACTTCAACTCCCAGAATTCCTGAGCCAGCCATGCTGAGGGGAAAGGGAGAGGTTTCCAAACTGAGCCATGCTGGCTCAGGAATTCTGGGAGTTGAAGTCCATGAGTCATAAAAGAGCCAAGGTTGCCTACCCCTGCCCTAGCAGTCCACGAGTCATAAAGCAGCCTAGGCTTAGGCCAGAGGTAGGCAACCTTGGCTCTTTTATGACTCGTGGACTTCAACTCCCAGAATTCCTGAGCCAGCCACGCTGAGGGGAAAGGGAGAGGTTTCCATGCTGAGCCATGCTGGCTCAGGAATTCTGGGAGTTGAAGTCCACGAGTCATAAAGCGGCCTAGGCCTAGGCCAGAGGTAGGCAACTTTGGCTCTTTTATGACCCGTGGACTTCAACTCCCAGAATTCCTGAGCCAGCCATGCTGAGGAGAAATGGAGAGGTTTCCATGCTGAGCCATGCTGGCTCAGGAATTCTGGGAGTTGAAGTTCACGAGTCATAAAAGAGCCAAGGTTGCCTACCCCTGAACTAAACAAACAGTTGTAATATCTTTAGTAGCTTATGCCTCTGGCTGTTTCCATTATGGTCCTGAAATCAATTACTTTCCAGCAACAATATTAGGGAAATCTATAAAGCTGTGGGTATTAGAGATACAAATTTAAGAGGGATGTGAGTTCAAGGGCACTTCTCTGGCCGTGAGGAATGTTTTCAGTGCATTTTTTGAGCAGTTGCTTCTCTAGGAATCTGCAAGTCTCTGATTTCCCGAGCTTCAATTAAATGTGAAGAAAGGCATGGATAATCAAGCTGTGTCTTACAGAATACACAATAACAGAGCTGGAAGGGATCTTGCAGGTCTTCTAGTCCAACCCCTTGATGGTCAATGGTAACATACAAAACAGCAACAACAAGTTGTTAAATAAACTGAGGGAGAAAACCACCCAAACTCTAAAACACCTTGTGGAAAAGTTAGAAAAATAAGGGCAACTTTTTCAGGAAAAAAGACTGGGGACTGGAAGCTAAAACATATAAAGAAGGGTGGCAGGAATTGGGTATGTCCAGTTTAATGAAAAGAAGGACCAGGAGTGACACGATAACTGTGCTCCAATATCTCAGGGGCTGCCATAAAGAAGAGGGGGACAACCTTTTCTCCAGTAGAGTAGAGTAGAGTAGAGTAGAGTAGAGTAGAGTAGAGGTCCCCAACTTTTTGGGCACTAGAGACAGGTTCTGTGGAGAAAGATTTTTCCATGGACTGGAGGGTGCGTAGTTTTGTGTGCTGCCTGCATCACACAGATGGGGTTTTGCTTTTTTGTGCGGACCAGTTGCTGGCATGCCATGGCCTGGTACCAGTCCATGGACTGGGGGTTGGGGACCCCTGGAGTAGAGTAGAGTAGATTAGAATTAGAGTAGAACAGAGTAGAGTCAAGCAGAGCAGAACAGAGCAGAGCAGAGTAGAGTAGAATATTCTTTATTGACCA